ACAATAGAAAGGTTTTTCGATGTTTCCGGAATACATTGACGTACCATAAACGGGGTATGATGACCCAAGGCTAACAACCTCAGGCCCAAGCCGTGCAGTATATTCACCATACCAGCAACCCCGGCGTATTTGCCGAAGGCGACTACTCGCTGGCCGTCAGCGTCAGTAAGCTTCTCATAATCCAGGAAGCGTATGTTCTTTTCTAGGATTGCGTCCAGGAGGGGCATGTTATTTTCCTGCGCCTTGATGGTGTGCGAGAAGAAGCAGTACGTCTTGTTGGGTATCAGCTGATCCACGGGTACTTGTTTGACACCGAAGATAATAGAAGCCGAGCTGATGTCCTCCTGCAGTAGAGCACCCGCCGCTTGATATGCATGGGCGGGATACGCCCGTCGGTTGCTGGGCTGCACGATCACCTTCACGCCCGACCTGATGAGGCGGCGAACGTTCGCCGGGGCTAACGGCGCTCTTCTCTCCCATACTGACTGGTCCTCTCGTCTTATAGCTATTACTTTGCCCTTAAGATTCTGAAAAGATTCGACGTTGAAGAATGCTCCGCTGAAGCGGTGCACGATAGTTTATTCAAAAAGATTCATCTTCTATATTTTCTAATCATTTCTTTACGAAATATCATCTTATATTACAATTCACTATACGGCACGAGAAAAAAAAAAAGATTAAAGAATTTTTAATCCATAGTAACTGATTTTGAAGATGAAGAATCTGTCAGTTCTTGGAATGAATTTATATATATATCATTCGTTTCAAATCCACCTATTTTTTTCACAAAACTTTGCAAGATCGAACATCAACGCGATCGTTTAAGCAGGATCATTAACCGAGATTATATCACATGAAATTCGTTATTTGGGATGCTTACACTTATGTATCTGATGTTAGGGATATCGGCACGAGTTGCAGTGGTCAACAGATGACATGATTTGGTCACTCCTAATATCCACATCACACCTTTGTCAAAACCGATTTAATAGCAGCGTAAAAGTCAGCGTTACCGAGAGAAATTTACTCTTAAGTACTAGTTGAAACCGATTCGCAATGATTGCGCTAACTGGAATAATTTAGTTCTTCTTGCAGAATCTCGCTTGTGTATTTCGATACGTCCTGAACCGAGTCCATTCTACTACTATTCTACCGTGCCTATATATACTATACTGCGCGGATCAAATGCTCAGAAATGTCAGATAGTATTACAAAATCACCGATAAACTTGACATCGGCGTTATCAGTGTGACTCTTCTGGCTATCATACTGGCTGCATTATTGAAAGAAATTTATTTAGAGAATGATTCCGGAAAAATGTTTTTCTTGTTACGCGCCACGACAATAACAGAATAACGCTACGCGCGTATCAAGAGTAAACAATTGCAAACAAGAAATTAATATTAGAGATAATTATACGCAGTTATGCCGATAGTGTCCAATACTCGCCATAATCGGAGAGGTCATAGGTTTGGAGCTAAGATACTTCTCCGTACAGTTTCTGCAAAATTTTTAATACAGAGGTATTTTTCCATCATTACAGAAAGTATCATTATCATTAAATATTAGTTGAATGATACCGTACAGTGCGTAATTACGAACGCATCGAATAATCATAAAAACGACTAATTGAAAAACTTATTAGTTCTCCTAGTTAAGTTAATTGGATTGCGCTTTGATTGATAAATACATTTTATTCTTGATGGTCTGTTTGGTGGGATTTATCTTCTTCAGTATTTGAGTCATAATATTGACAAGTTGCTCAGATGTAAGACCGGTTTTTTTGGATTTGAATTTCTGTAGCAACTCGGTTGTTGTCATTGGTTTGCGCATTAAATACCGTCTCACCGCGTCTTCCGTAATTCCCGATTCACTAAAAAGATACAAAAAGTGTAAATATTAAAAAAAAATAAATATTAAAATATTATATATTTATTGTTCAACACTGAGGCAAAAACATACTTCGCTCCCGGTATGTATGATGTTACTGGGACTAGATTGAAATTGTCCAACTTCAATTTTTTCGCTTGCGACAAGTCCGGAGATCCAGACTGTTTCCTCTTAAAAGATTCGGAGATCCCGGATGCTGCAGACGTTGGTGTCGCCGATCTCGAACTATGCGCGCTATTAGGCTTCTTATTATCTTTTAGCGTTGTATCAGAGTTTGATTCCGAATCGCTAGAAAAATCGCTAGAGGAATCCTTCCCAGAAGCAGTTATCTTTTGATCTTTCTTCTTGGTTTTTTTCTTCTTCTTTTTGTCTTTCTTCTTATCCGTTTCTTTACCGAGTTTGTCTTTATCCTGTAATGCAATATGTATTAGAGAAATATAAGATAAAATATTTAGGAAGTGTATTTAATAATAAATGTTGTGGATTATCTCATATTATTTAAAAAATGTAGAAAGGCTTAATATGCAACATATGCAGTGTTTATCCACAAGTGTTGTAACAATGATGCATTAGATTTCCTTACTTTATCATCCTTCTCTTTTCCTTCCTCATCCTCGTCTTTGTCTTCTTCGCCTTCCTTCTTATCTGTTTGGTCTTCATCATCTTCGTCTTCGTCAGATGCAAGTAATTTTCTCAATGCGTCCTCCTCTGCGACGGACTTAATTTCCTTCTGTTTTTCTAATTCTGATTCAGAATCGGAAGAATCAGAAATATAATCGCATTCTCTTCCCTCTTCATCGCCGTCATCGCTTTCCTCAAACGCTTCATTATCCGAGGCATTCTTTTTCTTCTTTTTTTTCTTTTGTACTTGACCTAAAATATTAATTAAACTATATATACTTATCTGTGTGCAACACAATTTTCTTATGTAAAAATAAATATGTATAACATATAATATATGTATATATGTATAACAATATGTATATGTATATGTATAAGTGATTATATCGTTTATTACCTTTGCCCTTCTTCGTCTTCTTTGCATCATCCTCATCTTCTGATCCTTTTTTATTCTCATCTTCGTTACTGCCTGAGTCGTCATCATCGCTCTCCATCCATTCATCCAGTTCTGATATTTTCAATTCCTTTTCCTTCTTACTTGGCCTCTTAACTTTACCACCTTCCACTAATTCTTCGTCATCACCACCATCCTCATCGTTTCTCAATCTCTTGCGTAACATTAGAGAGAAATAATTCATCACCTTATTTCTACGACTGAATTCTTGCTCTGCCTCTTCAGCACTGAGAGCTTTGTATCTCTGAATTGGCTGAAAGTTATACCTGTATGTGAAAGTTACATATTTTTCAGTAATTAATAGTAAAACAATTAACATTATGAGATACCTACCATTCATGTAAAGGAAAGGCCTCTATTGCACCATCAGCGGCATGGGTAAAAACGTAATATGCTGCATTTTCGCTGACTCCTCCCTCTCGTATACCTTTGAATTTTTTGCCAGTCTTTCCTCCCGATTTCAGAATCCACGGTTGATCTTCTGGCTTATACTTTCTACTGGTAATGCCATATTTTTTTCTTCTAGCTTCTTCTCTAGCATCACGTCCAAATTCGGATCCGGCACCAAATTTCGGCATATCCTCTTCTATACCCTTGTACTCCTTCATGTTGTTCTCCCGTTCCATTTTCACTTGTGCCCATTTTGAGAAATCTACGTTCAGAGTCGCATTGAATCTCATGACATTGTGCTTCTTTTTACTGTTTCTAAAAGTTTCATAAATTATTTTCAAAAATTTGTGATATATAAAAAATTAAAAATATAAATATTAGTGATACAAACTTTGGTACTCTAATACTGAATTCCTGCACAGACGGTACGATTGGGGGCTAAAAGGAAAATTAAATCTTGTAGCGTTATATTGTAAATATATCATTTTTCTTTTAAGATAACAATGTACAATCTTCAATATCTGGTTACAGTAATATAATCTGCAACTATTATTGCAACTACTAATACATACCTTTGACATTGTGCTTGAATTCATATTTAAGAAAGAATTTCCGGACAATTTAACGTTATATTTACAATTTAAGGCAATTTTTTACAAATTATTTGATCGATCAGGTCTGACTTAAGTAATCTCAAAATTTCAAAGAGATTCAATATGCATTTTGAAAGACAGGTGTTTACTCCATTCGATTGATCAATCAGGGTAAAAAAACCTTTACCTCTTTTGATTGATCTGGTTTTGGTTGATCAATCAAAGAATTCGAAGCATAGATAAAGCATAGATATATAAAAGTGTAGATCTGTCCTTTGTGGTTGCACTTTGTTCTTTCCTGCGTTCGGAAATCCGAGGGAAATCCTATATTGACCAATCAGGATAAAAGAAGCAAAGATTTCTTTGCAGGATTTTTGAACATATCCCAATCAAAACGATGCAGTAGATGAAGGCTACGGTCGGGAAGACGCTAGAGATGCTTTGAAGCATTACATTAACCAATCAGAATAAAGAAATTTTTACTCTTTTTGTCCTGATTGGTCAATCAAACGTTTCGAAGCATTTCTAGCGTCTTCCCGACCGCAGCCGAAATGGATATATATGCGATTGATGGATTGTTTCTATTGAATGTGTATTTTGGAGCTTGATACAAAATCATCGAATGCATATGTATATAAAAATTCTAAACGGCGAGATTTGTCAAAAATATAAAAGTATGCAAATGTATCGACATAAAAAAATATAATAGAAAATAATTTAACAATAAGAAATAATTTAAATATAATTTTCTGAATAATGTATAAAATATCAAAAAATCACATGTAACTTGACGTTTCTTTCTCTCACGCAATTTTGATCGATCATTGCATCTTTAACTATATATATAGTCTGGTGTGATCAGAAGTTAAAATTGTCGAATGATTGTGATTTAGAGAAGATTGATATTTTTCAATTTACTCGAAATTTGGAAAAAATCAAGAAAGTCGCAAGAAAATTTATACGAAACATAAAGAGAGAAGGGTCTCGTATCTTCAGCGGGAACAGATTATACATATGTCCCGATGACGACAGCACTGGCGGTGAATCCGAAGCCGGAGCCAATGCGTGTCTTCCTCGCCGTCGAGCCGCGGATATCGCTTCGTGGCCAATAACTGAGATGGTTGCTCGCGGCCGGTAGTGTGTTGCGTTCCGAGATTTAAGCGAAACGTTAATAATAAAACGAGACTAAATTCCATCGCAGGCCCATCGCACTACCCAAGCATGGCGCACCAAATGCTTTCGTCGGCCAGCAAACTGGAAAGACTGATTCTCAGGCCCACTCAAAAAGGTTATTTCGACACGCTTCAGGTACCGTCATAACCTGTCATCTCTAATATTTGTGATATAATGCGCTGTAATTGTTGCGCGTTTTTACAAAAATGACACGATAATTGTCATCATGGTGCTCGATCGTGTGTGCTATCATTTTAATTCCGAATATCCGCGTGAATTCGTGGTTAACGTATTTACGTTCTAAATATATCCTTTCTAAACGAGAAACACTCACGTGTTTGTTGTCATCTCTTGCACCTTTCTACGTAATCGTAATTTGTTAATTTAACGTGTAGTTTACATCAGCTGTGCAATAGTTATTAGCAATTTTCGTGAGGAGACTGTGTATCTGCAATTTTAAGAATGGTGACATAAATCTTGTCATTTTTTAAATACTTTTGGCACTAGAACAATAACATTAAACTAATTGTAAGATATATTTTTTTAGTTGAGGCGACATTTAACTCTGCTTAAAAATAGTACAACGTTATCCATGATTGAAGAGTTGCAACAAAAATGGAGATTATTTTGTAAAGAGCCACCCAAAGGATTCGAAAAGTTCTTTAAACCAGGTTCCTGATACTTTTATACTTATCTATTCAGATCTCCCGTTCTCTTTTGTAATAAATTTGTATAGTTTTTAATAATTGATATAATATGGTTTTGTGTATATATAGGTGGAACGAAAAGTGCTGAAAAAAGTGCTGAAAATGTTGCTAAAAAGGCGGAAGAGGCATCGAGCAAGAAAGCTAGTACAGAGAAACCTTCTTCATCTACCTCTAGCTCGTCATCCAGTTCCAAAGATCAAGGTTTTCAATGGGCATTTAAGGTTTTCGGTGACAGTTCACAGCGAGGAGGTAAATCGTTTGAAGGTGGTGACAAGGATAAGACATTCATGATTTTGGGTACACTTGGAGTAACTGGTTTGCTTGCATATATACTTTCCCAGGATTTCAATCAGAAGGAGATCACATGGAGAGAATTTACATATAAGTGAGTAAATTATATTCCTATGCAATTTTATGGAATCCTTAATATGTTTTGATGAAATAGCAAATATATATTGACTATAAAAATCAAAAGCAGTCAATACTTACAATTATGCTAATTATACATCTTTTCTTCTTTCAGTTATTTAAGCAAAGGTCTTGTTGATAAATTAGAAGTAGTAAATAAAAAGTGGGTGCGTGTAAGACTTCTACCTGGACATACTGTTGATGGTTCTGTAAGTTTTCCTTTGCAAGATCAGTGGTAGACTTCACTTATTTGTCAATAGTATATCAAAGTTTGATATATGTTTTATAGGATACATTGTGGTTCAATATTGGAAGTACTGATACTTTTGAAAGGAATCTAGAAAATGCACAAATAGAATTAAACATGGGACCTGAGAATTATATTCCTGTGGTTTACAAAAATGAAATAGAAACTGTAAATGTAATGTCATATTTGCCACAAATTCTTATGTTGGGTAAATTAATTATTAATTTTGTTAACTGTTATAACAGCAAAGCGATTTTTATATCTGTATATTATAAATGTCAAGAAAATATATTTTAGGGCTGCTCATTTATTTCATGCGAAGATCTGCGGAAGCAATGATTGGTAAAGGAGGTAAAAGAGGTGGGCTTTTTGGTACAGTAATGGAATCAACTGCAAAACTAATAAATTCGAAAGATATTGGTGTACGATTTAAGTGAGTAATAAATATATTTTGTCATCATATAAGTAATTTAACATTTCTTGTTCATTGGTGTAAATCTTATTTATATTACACATTAGAGATGTAGCTGGATGTGAAGAAGCTAAGATCGAAATTATGGAATTTGTAAATTTCTTGAAGAATCCACAGCAATATATAGATCTCGGGGCTAAGATTCCAAAAGGCGCTATGTTAACAGGTAACTTTAGTAATTTAAATAAAATGTAATTTTGTAATGGATAATAGAATACACTTTTCGTATTTAAAATATATCATTGATCGAATTTAAAATGTTGTAAGTGAACATGTGTCATTTTTCTCATAGGGCCGCCTGGTACTGGTAAAACTTTGTTAGCCAAAGCTACGGCTGGTGAAGCAAACGTACCGTTTATTACAGTATCCGGTTCGGAATTCTTGGAAATGTTTGTGGGTGTCGGTCCATCTAGAGTACGCGATATGTTCTCTATGGCGCGAAAGCATGCACCGTGTATATTATTTATTGACGAGATCGATGCAGTCGGACGAAAGAGAGGAGGTCGGAATTTTGCGGGACATTCTGAGCAAGAAAACACATTGAACCAGCTCTTGGTAGAAATGGATGGTACGTCCTACTTTCAACTACGAAGAAACTACGATCGAAACTACGATCGAAACCACTGACAATAATTTTTAACATTTACTATCTTTTTTAAGGATTTAATACGACGACTAATGTGGTGGTATTAGCGGCTACTAATAGGGTAGACATTTTAGATAAGGCATTACTTAGACCTGGAAGATTCGATAGACAAATATTTGTATCTGCGCCGGATATCAAAGGACGGGCGTCCATTTTCAAAGTACATTTAACTCCTTTGAAAACTTTATTAGACAAAGATCAGCTAGCAAGAAAGATGGCTTCCCTGACTCCTGGATTTACAGGTATATAATCGATAATATTGAATATTTTTAAGAAAAATATATAAAAGTAGATAAATATTAACAAAATTTTACATCCAGAAACTAAATGAAAACCGTCAGGACATCATATATAGATTTTTTCAGGAGCTGATATTGCGAACGTTTGCAATGAAGCGGCTCTGATCGCGGCAAGAGATTTGAATGATAATATCCACCTTAAAAACTTCGAACAAGCTATCGAGAGGGTAGTAGCTGGCATGGAGAAGAAAACCAATGTATTGCAACCTGAGGAAAAGAAAACAGTCGCGTACCATGAGGCCGGTCATGCGGTAGCCGGCTGGTTTTTAGAGTATGCGGATCCGCTTTTGAAGGTACCGTATTTTATCCATTTTTCACAATGATACAATTTCTTCGCTATTGTTAGACTTTTGTTATTTCCCTCAGGTATCTATTATTCCGCGCGGTAAAGGATTAGGATATGCCCAATATTTGCCACGTGAGCAATATCTCTATACGAAGGAACAGTTATTCGATCGAATGTGCATGACGCTCGGTGGACGAGTATCAGAAGAAATCTTTTTCGGCCGCATAACTACAGGCGCTCAGGATGATTTGCAAAAGGTATTATTATAATTAAGTGTAAGAATAATGAGTATTTTTACTCTCATATTTTGATGATGAAGATATATTGTATCTTTTTTTTACTAAACTGACCAACATATTTTGGATTCGCTTTAAAGATTACAGAAATTGCGTATGCACAAATTACGCAATACGGTATGAACGAGAAGGTCGGGAATGTTAGCTTTCAAATGCCGAAGCCAGGAGAGATGGCCTTAGACAAACCATATTCCGAATATACTGCGCAACTCATCGACAATGAAGTCCGAGATTTGATCGACAGGGCACATAAACGAACGCGAGCCCTTCTGGACGAGCACAAAGAGAATGTAATCAAGGTAAATTTTATATCGCTATTTTATATCACCTACTTAAATAGTTGAATGATTTAACGCATGCGTCAAGCTGTAAATCAATCTGAAATAACTTGACACAATTTTAGGTCGCCGAGCGATTGTTGAAGCAGGAGATCTTAAGCAGGGACGATATGATCGAATTACTTGGTGCTCGGCCTTTCCGCGAGAAATCTACTTACGAAGAATTTGTTGAAGGCACTGGCTCCTTCGAAGAGGATACTACGTTACCGGAAGGTTTGAAGGAATGGAACAAATCTAAGGAAGAATCCTCCGAGGACGGTGATAAGAAAGATAAAGCGGCGGAGACTAGCGAGTCGCAGGCGCAGCCTTCTAAAGCAGCCTCCAGTGATAAACAGCCGCAACAACGACTATAACCTGTAACATTTAGTCTCGCAACTGCTTTGTATAATAGTTCGAAATACACAATCATAACAATATAAGTTTATGGATATTCAACAGTATATTCAGCTGCATCAGCTGTTGTAACCGGTATATATATACGATGAAGTCGTCAGTTTAACATGACGTTCTTATGATGTGTGTTTTCTTGTAATTAAAACTAAATTACATTCTATAAATTCTTTCTCATAAATCCGTTTTCACCTTCATATCAACTGATAATAGTATTGTGCGAAGTAACATATATCACAAACTCGCGAAACTCTTAGAAACTTTAAGATCTCCTGCGTTATGTGTATTAAAACTGCGCAGATACTTCATTAATTTTGGATAATGATTAAAGATACAATTCTTTGTTTGATATAATTTTGTGTTATCACCCTTCACGTTTTTTGGTGGAAGAAAAGTGGGCAAATGAAAGGTTTTCGAAAAACGATTCTTGCACATAGATGTTTGCAAGCTCGATATACTTAATTTTTAAGAAAGGCGATTTTATTTTACATATTTATCAATTTTCATGTTTTCTTGAAAAAATAACATATACACCTCTTTGAAGAATAAACTCGAAGATTATAGGTATATGCAAAGTCGAATAAATCGTTCAATGTGCAATCCATATTTAAGGTTTAGTTTATTGATAAGAAACATATCAGTAACACGATCGGCTTCTGCATTACATTACTGGGTACGAATTAATTACGTCTGACGTGTGTCGCTTATTGCACATGGCTGTAAATATATATATATATATGTAAAATTGCTTTCGTCGAGATGCCGTGACGACGCGGAACGTCGCCGCGGCTTGTGCTACGTAAAATTTGTAAAAGTGTATCCGCCGCTATTTTTTATTCGTGGTTCACACTCATACGTTGGTCGAGCTCGTATGTTTGTCGTCATCCGTAAAACGTTATATCCTACACATCTCGGGCGAGTGCTTCTTCGTGTCTTGTCAATTACGCTCGATTTAGCACCTGACACGCGAAATCCGACCTGACCAGACCTGGCGATTAGTTTAAGAATTTTAATGAAAAATAATTGCCACGATACACGGATAAACAACACGAAATCTGGAATATTTTTAAAATGTGTCAAGATTATCTGAAAGAGTAGAACGTTTTTTTAAATACTCTTGTTATCTGAGATAAGATCGTGCGCGATTATTCTTTTCGTAGAGATTTTAGCATCATGCTAGAATCGATCTTGTCCTCGTGACAGGTACTAAATCTGCGGAGATGTTAAGCACAGTGTCTCTTTATCCCCTTGAAAAAGGATAATCGTTCTATATCAACGGGTGTAGGTGTACAGATGCAACGACATGACGTTATAAATGACTAATAAAGTCTGGTTTGACATTAAAAAGTACGCGCAATGTGTACATATTTCTAGTTGAAGTTTGGTGTTACATTGTTCCAAAGTTGGCATATTCACCTTTATCACCGTTCGTATATGCAAGTTCTTATAATTGTAGTCCGCAGAATTTCGTGTGAGAAAAAATTATATAGCATAATGAATCAATTTTGATATTACAACGGTATTCCGGTCCAATTATCGGATTATTAGCTTTACGCAAATAAGGATGAACCGCAAAAAATAGATTCCATACGTTTCCGCGTATTTCATCAAGAAAGAAAAACAAAGATTTCTAAAACGGCTGTCATTTCCCATGCTACGCGTATTTATTTCAATGGACTGCAGACAATGTTTCTTATTGCGATGCACAAATGCGTCTTATATATTTAATGACGTCGAAGAAATTGATACCTATGTATGATGAAAAGTAAGCCTCGCGATATAAGTATCGAGTCGTTTGCTAATAAATTGCGCGCTTGTGTGTATATTTTCTAAAAATTCTATATAAAGTTGCTCCGGGATGTGTTGAAAGAAGTGAATTCTTCTACCAATTCACTTTTTATTTACGCTACAAATTTATACGGTTACAAGTTTCCGATAGCAATAAATTTCTTGCGTTCCTTTCATTCCTCGTTAAAAACTTGATGTTCAGACAGATCAGAGTAAACCTTCTGCCAACGCGATCTCATTTTTGTAAAATGCAAATTTTTTATCTTACCGCGATAATATTGTCACAAAAATGAAAAATCGTCTCGGATATTACATACTGTAGTAGCCAATAATTGTGCCGAACGGTTCTTTTGGAGGAATAGTTTTAAGAAATTACGAAAAAAGACGTATAATGTATTCATTTCGCTTTCAGTCTCATCTCCTTTAAGTGAGGATTTTCATTATATATGGTGTATTATCAGCAATACGCGTGAGGATAAGCGAATGTCAAATTGTTGACCGTAAGCGATACAAGCTCTGCACTGCGATACGGATTATTCATATTCGGGTGTGAATCAATTTTCTTTCTTCTTTTCGCAAGTCTTTTTCTTTCGGCATAAATTTGGCACCGTATAAAACAACTTCTACCTTCTTATGATGAAGCATTGCATCACGGAATTTAAAGGCGATGTATCTATCTTGTTTTTTTTTTCGATATAATCGAATGAGTACAATTATTTAAAGTTCCATTCCGTTACGAAAAGACGCAAACATCCTTCTCGAAACAGGATTAGTTGATTGTTTGTTCCTTCATTTTTTTTTCAATTATTCAAGAAAAGTTTGTCTCTCTTGCCGATACGAAAGAAAAAGATCCTTGCAGATTTCTGTGATCAGAGTTTATATATATTGCGGCTCTCTATCTCTGCCCATTCGCTTTTCAACTACCAATTTTTTTCTTTTTTTTTCTTTTTTTCCTAAACTTTTGATCCCAAGACAGTTTTACTCTGAAATGGCAATCTTTCCAGCGTTTCTACAAAACTATACGATTTATATCGAGTAAATATTTATAGATTTCGAAAGTATCGTTAACTTAGCACTAATTCGCTCGCTAATCAAGTATATCGTACAATCACTAAATTATTGCTTTGTCGTACCTTGTATCACACTAATCTAAACCCTATGTTTCCTTATATGCGTTTTTTTCTCTATCTTTTCCCTTTCCGCCCGTTTCTTGAAAAGCCAGGTTTAGCGGTGATCATGCCTGCTTCTCCGCAAATTCGTGTACATATGTATGCATGGATGCGCGCTATTTCGTAAATGTATCCTCTTAACACATTGACTATCGTGATACATTTCTTCGCTTCGCTCTTCGTTAGAATCAATTACCATAATTCCGGAAATATATTAATTGACGGAATCATACTTGAAATTTTGTTTGTCTTATTTCGTCCACGGCATTATTCAGAAATTTTAAACGAATAAAAACGTAGAAACAATTTTCATAAAAAAAAAAAAACAAATTATAGCGTTTTGCGGCTAAGTCAATAAAAGTTAAAAATCTTGCCACATTTGTTATCGAGAATATTGCACAAGAGATGCATTATCTTATTTCTCTTACCGAAATTCAACAAATATGATATTAATCTAATCTAATCGGACGTATAAAATGGCTGTCATCAGATTGAAAACGAATAAAAATTCTCGGATTTCAGTGTAGTTCCGTCGATTAACACGTACATGTACATAGATCTATATATATAATATTATATATTTATATATTATAAATATATAATTATATATATAATATTATATTGT